CTTCCCGGCGACACCCGATGGCGCCATCGGTCAACACTTAATGGCTAGCACACAACCTTAGATATTCCACTCACCCGTTGTGCCCGGAGGCATTGTACTGGCCGTATCGTTGTCTCCGGACGCCGCTAGCCACCCGAGCGCTTCAAAGCTACTGCGCTCCCGCAATAACCCGTTCTGTTGTGCTCAGGTCCTGATGCGTCGTAGTTAGTCAACAGTGCAGGACGACTAACGACACGTACGCACACCGCAGGGCAACTCCCACCCCCTGCCCGCTAGACTCGCGTTACGATGTATAACAAGTGTATACCCACGGTAAACACAGAGGTTAAACACACAGTATAGACTATGAACGCAGCCGGGCAAAAAGGGCTACAGTGCAGTAAGGTACCGACGGCTTCCCGTCCCGTACAGCCGCGTACGAAATAGACTAACTCCCTCGCTATTCGTGCAGACTCGACACGTTTACTCTAGGCCTAGTACTGTATTATTCACTCACCCCACAACGACAGGACAATACGGGGCTTACTCACCGAACGGCCGCTCGAGGCAGAACGCGGTGGGGCTCACTCTCTCCTTCTCTCTACTACACTCTATACTTCTCTCTCGAACTCTCCAACTCTCTCTCTATCTCTTTGTCTTCCGAACTCTCTATCTGAACCTCTCTCCTGCGCTCCTACCCGCCAACTACCACGAGACCACCGACGAATTCCCGCCTATCACCTGCGGGCCAACTGTTTCGCCGAACTCTGCCGCTAGAGGGGACCCACTGCATTCGGCATGGCGGCCCCCTTTGTTGATGTTACAATCGGTAAGCAAACCCCTGACAAAACAGACACAAAGACAAAACAATTAGACAATAACAAACATTCAGCCATCTCCCCATCTTCCGGGTACCCAGGGGGCTACAACCCCACCGCTCTGGGAACCCGAGGGCCCGGTGCCACCGCTACACAACAAAGAGTAGAGATGATTCATCGTAGCAGATTGTTATTGAATACTGATTTTATTAGTCACTCGAACACATACAAAATATATACATACGGCAACCTAGGTGGGTGACCGTGCTTAGGTCCCGTCGTCTCCGTTTTCGTCTATCTCTCTACATCGTCGTATCTCCTCTGGGTAATAACTCCTAGCTGTCTGTCCGAGCGTGTCTATTTATATGATTCCCAAAAAACCCCGGCGACTTTTGAATCCGACCGGTTCTTTGCCGGGGCTAGGACACGCGTGAGGCTACGCATATATCTATAGTGCCGTACATCCCGCGTCATTACCAAAACAACAACGAACCACCAGGCCAGAACACAGGCCAATTAGTTCCACTGCCTCACCCGGCTAGAAGCGCTCCTGGTTACAATGTATAATACAACATTCCTTCCTTCTCTCTCGACAGGGTTCTTGTTCTCACGAAAAATACAGTTATGCATAAAAAATACCATTAAACATTAAAAGTTGAAAACATTAGTCCAAGTTTGCAAACATCAAACCGTGCCATAATACATGTTAGTAGGTGTGCACTATGGTGTAATTTTACAAGCCCGGCACCGACCGCGTTTACATGTGATGGTGATAATAAATCCTTGGGGTTTAAGAGTAGGAAAGGAAAGGCCGGTTTTGAAACGGGCTGCAGCTGTCTAGTGAAAATTACGTCTCATCTCATATCACAGGAGGGGTCGACAGTCTGCAACGGTAACTCAACTCGAATTGGCATGGCAAGGCAAGAGGAGGATGGAACAAGGATACCTCTTACCGCGTACAACACGTTAGTAAATCTGTTAATCAAAAGAAATAAAATACAAACAAACAAATGACGAAACAAAAATACAGATATCATCGGCAAAGCCATATCGTAAACACAGATCCATAGCCAATTATTTGTTTATAAAATTTTGAATTCGTGGTTTTGCTGTCGTGGTATCGACCCAATGGTATCGGCAGTAGCCGTGACTCAAAAATGACGCGACGCGTGACGAAATCGGACGTGCCCAATTCCCGGGCGGAGCTGTTTTAGCTCGTCGTCACCTTCAATTAAATATTACGCACTATGGTGAGTTTGTACCGTAGTATGCCTCTGTTGGCAGGGACGCTAATTTTAGCTTACCCTATTGGCCACGTTCGAGGTCATACTTTGAGGTGGCTAGGCGTCTCGCCCCTCTCATCGCATAGGCTTACTACATACTTTCGACGCTTGAGTCACCGGACGCCGTTGCCATGAAATTCGAATACCACGCTAGCTATCACTACGAAAATTAGCGCGCAGTGCTCGGCAATTCGCGAGTTATTTTACTGTTAAACAAATATTTCCAAACTAGTGGCTATATGTATACAGTGATTTTACGATGTCGCTTACCCTATCGTCGCCGTGTAGATCTATCTCTTCTTCAGCTGCCCCTCGACCTTGCTCTGCGCGGGCTCTGGAGGACATGACAAAGCAGACAACATGGCTGCCGCCTTGTTGGTTGTGAGAGCGTCGATCGGGTCCGGAGATGGCTGCCTCTCCATTTTCTTTCTCTCTCGCTTTTCTTCTCTCCCGACGCTCTTATTCTCTGTCTCTCCTTCTTCATCATCTGGGGGATCAGCGTAGCGTACGTAGCGAAATACGGAATCTCTTCTCCTTCTTTGTCTTCTTCTTCTTCATCTTCTGGTTCCTTCTTCTTCAGCTGGGGGATCAGCTCGATGGCGTAGCGAAATGCAGATCGTTGCATCCTCCACCAATTATTGTACTGCGAAATAGTTGAAGTTTCCGGTCCGGCATCGTAGCATCGTAGCGTGATACGTAATACGGAGATGGTTGCAGCAAGGAGTAGAGATGATCCATCGTAGCAGATTGTTATTGAAGACTGCTTTATTTAGTCACTCGAAAATATATACTCGAACACATGCAAAATATATACATACGGCAACCTAGGTGGGTGACCGTGCCTATAGGTCCCGTCGTCTCCGTTTTCGTCTATCTCTCTACATCGTCGTATCTCCTCTGGGAAATAACTCTTGCAGGACTGTCTGTCCGAGCGTGTCTATTTATATGATTGCCAAAAATCCCCGGCGACTTTTGAATCCAACCGGTTTTTCGCCGGTGCTAGGAGACGCGTGAAGCTACGCATATATCTATAGTGCCGTACATCCCGCGTCATTACCAAAACAACAACAAACCACCAAGCCAAAACACAGTCCCATTACTGCCTCGCCTGGCTAGAGCGCTCCTGGTTAATTACAACGTACAATGTACCATACAACACTGGTTGCGGGCGGGCCGAACCGGAAACCAGACCCTATCATCATAATATCTAATATATTATTTATTAAATAAATCTATGCTGAGATACTGAGGTGACTGAAGAAAACTGCATAATACAGCTTGCTGAAAGAGAGAGAGAGAGAGAGAGAGAGAGAGAGAGAGAGAGAGAGAAAGAGAGAGAACGGTGGGAGACTGTGAAAAAGCGGTATGGATGATAGCTGAGCGGCCGTAAAGGAAGGAGGTTGAGCGAGGGACAAGGGAGGGCAAGGGGAAAGACGGGCTAGCGCGCGCTCCTAATTATAAACACAGATCTAGTGATAACGATATATTACATAAATCTATACTGAGATACCCCCTAACCATAAATAAATAGTCATCACGAAATATAACTCCTCTGGTGAGATATTGCGCATGCGCTAACACACAAACGTAGCCAGATAGCCAGCCAACGTACTGACTGTCATACGCAGCGGGTATCTTACATGTAAGATCTTCTTCCTATTTCCTAAGTAAAGTCTACTGATAGAAGGTTACGATATAAATCTATGCTAGGATAACTCCTCTTCATTTCAAATGCATAATTATTGCATAATATTAATTTTCTCGGGAGATAGAGCACTCTATATTTATGTTTTACTGTGCGGCAGCGTGCAGCAGCGCGCGTGCGGTGGACATGTGTGTTGCAGAGGAGCATTTGCAGCACGGCATTTACAGGAAATTATCGGCAATAATAGGCGCGAGAGTATAGAAACATTAAGACTTTGGTAGTAAATAGATTTCGTATTTATTTAGCATGATATTTTATTGAAACGCTCCAAGTGCCTGTGCACGGGCAGCTGCTGCATGTGCATCAGAATATTTGGCACGACACTTCTGGACACATCTTCCAGAGTTTCGCCGACCTAAGTCACACGTATGTCTATCACACCTGGGTATATAATAATTTCCTGAATGTGCCGGGCGTTAACAAGCATGATATAAAACCTTAAGACGCCTTCCTCATGAATAACTACTGCTCAGGTTTTACACTCATGATTACTGGTTGGTCAATGATTCCCCGAATAGTCGTCCCATATATAATCGTAGCGTATACACGTAAAACAGTGAACGCAAGGCTGTGTAATCTATGCCGATGTACGCAGTCTACGTACAGTCTATGGATGAATAGATAGATAGATTGGTCGGTTGGTAGGTTGGGATGGTCGGTGCATGGATGGATAGATAGATGGGTGGACGGACGGACGGACGGACGGACGGACGAACGGACGAACGGACGGACGGACGGACGGACTGATGGATGGATTTGATGGAGGGAGTGATGCATGGAGGATGGATGGATGTGATGGATAGGCGAAGGAATGGATGGACAAACGGTCGGATGCACTGATTGAACGATAGATGCCTGGGTGGATGGATGAATTATACGTTTGAGTATTTTCCTGGTCTAGCTGTTTGCTGCGACGCTGCACAGCATCCGCGTACTATCCAGTCACGTCGGCATCATGTGCACTACATAGACGGCGCCTCCACTGTGACTATATAGATGCATGCTGTCGCCACGTATCGCGCATGAGAGGACTCAGGTCACACCCTCTCTCACTATCGGTCACTGATCACGGTCACCGCAGCTCCACAGCGCAATTCCTGTATTGCTGTTTTCCTGTAATCTTGTTTCAGGGTGAGTCAGAAAATTCAGTAATGATTTTAAACCAGAATATGCACGAGGGCGTGACTAAACCCTTTACTAGTGCACTGTCTTGTGTAGACTAGCTGTCGCTTCGTATCACAGACATAACCCTAACCCGGCTCCGTCGCAGAGCAACACCACGAGGGACAGTATAGAAATACTACCGTCAGATGCGAGCTTGTTATAGTTATTCTCCTCTCAGCTGACGCGGTTTGCCGCGGTCTTAATTTCTTATAGTTTGAATTTAAAAATTGCGCAGCAAGTCGACGGACGAGCCAATACCAGCAACAATAACATATTAGCTGAGCTATACTGTAAAGGTGTGAGTATATCTGCACTTATTACACTAGCTCTGCTTTCACTGTGTTCACGTGTCTACGCTATACGTTTATATATGAGAGGACTATTCGGAGAATCATTTAAGCAATGTTTGCGCATGTGTATCTGAACTTCACTTGCCTATATTGAAAAATAATGCTAATATATCACTAATGGAGCAAATGTGAGAGCGCGCGCGTGCGTATCATGAGCTAGTGTCGTTGTCGCATGGGACCAGCAAATATATTATTACGGCATATGCGTGCAGGCGCGCGCGTGTGTGATCCTTCAGCTCAATGTTATCGCACTTGTATTGTTGGAATCGATTCCATGGTCAACCTGATATTCACCCTATAAAAGGAGAAGGAAAAAACGGAAGAGCAGCAGCAGAAGCAGAAGGGGGAGGAGAAGGAGGAGGAATATGAAGAATGGGAAGGAATGGAGGAGTGGTTGATGAAAATGAAGATGAGAAGAAGGAAACGAGGGGCGGTGAAAGATGAGGAAAATGAGGAAGCGGAGGAGAAAGATGGAGGATCACGAGGTCGAGGGGAAGGAGGCGGAGGAAGAGGATGGGGAAAATGGGGACAGGAGCAGGAGGAAAACCAAGTCATAACGTATTTGTGGAAATGCAAAGGCTGGGCATGTTTTATTATTAAACTCCCTTCTCATACGTCGTTATGTTTCAGGAGTCAGTGCAGATGGAGCGGTACAGAGCTCGCTTCAGGACTGTTCTGCTTGTTACGATGGCAAGCTTGTTATTACTGGCGCTTTACCAGCGTATGGAGACGTATTCACCACAGACCATCTACGTGCGGCGGCCCGTGGCAAAATTACAATCAGGTGCCAGTTCACAATTTGCTTGTTTTTAATTGAACAAATATGCGACACATAATAACCTAAAGTGTTTAAGGTACGGATTTAATATTAGGTAGTTTTACACGTATATACCCTGTCAAGTAATACCAGTCACGCCACACATTTCAGCACGCTATAGGCATGTGCACATCATTACATTTTTATATACATAAAGCATATATATATATATATATATATATATATATATATATATATATACGTCAACAATGTAATATATAATATATTGTAGGGACGTAGTTTGTATGTTATAATTTATAGTTTAAATAATCAAGAAGACATACAGAATTTGTGTTCAATTAAAGAAATATATTGTTTACAAACATAACAGTCACCATCTCGTCGTCCCGTCCTGTCCAGTTCCAACCGTCAGTTCCAACCCCCAACGACCCGCAGATGTGTAACGCTCCGCTAGTCCCAACCTAGCTATTTCTCATCTGTATGCTAAACGCCGAACCCTGCTTCTATGTACAACTAAATCTATCTACAATTACTAAGGCAATTGGGGGGGGGGGGGGGGGGGGGGGGGGGGGGGCGGGGGGGGGGGGGGGGGGGGGGGGGGTAGGGGGGGGGGGGGGGGGGGGCGGGGGGGGGGGGGGGGGGGGGGGGGGGGGGGGGGGGGGGGGCGGGGGGGGGGGGGGGGGGGGGGGCGGGGGGGGGGGGGGGGCGGGGGGCGGGGGGGGGGGGCGGGGGGGGGGGGGGGGGGGGGGGGGGGGGGGGCGGGGGGGGGGGGGGGGAGGGGGGGGGGGGGGGGGGGGGGGGGGGGGGGGGGGGGGGGGGGGGGGGGGGGGGGGGGGGGGGGGGGGGGGGGGGGGGGGGGGGGGGGGGGGGGGGGGGGGGGGCGGGGGGGGGGGGGGGGTAACATGTGTAAAACACATGTTACATTTACCTCCCCCTTCATCAAAACGATGATCCCATCATCGCATTCAGCGTCCCGCTGATCTAAATGTCCTGTTTAACTAACTCCCAATCCCCCATATCTAACACACACACACACACACACACACACACACACACACACACACACACACACACACACACACACACACACACACGCGCGCACACCTGTTCCTAACGAAATAGAGCCCAACATCACATAAATTCCTTCCTTTGTCCATCATACTGTCTACAATAACTCATTCATTGAACACAACCCCCCTCCCCACATAATACTGTACACAATTTACACAACCTATTACCTATGGTACCAAAGCCAGTACCATGGTATCCCAATTCTATGGCTAACACTGCCGCCAACAAAAACCTCACTGACCACACTGATATAAAACCATACTTGACACGAATTGCCAAGTAAACCATCTGTGCAACAATTCCTTGAAACCCTGAAACGAAAAGCTGAAAAGAGAAAACCAATACACAAACTACACCAACCCCAATGCAACACAACAACTCATTACATACCGACAATGCATAACCTGAAATACAACTCCCAAAACTCAATAATATACCATAAACATACTGCATACCTGAAATACAAAAACAACAACACAATGAAATACATAGAATACAATATAATATAATAGTCTTGATCCTCGACGATGTTACGATGTCCTACCTGGCCTTGATGTTGATCTCTGCGCTGTTTCTTCTGATGCTGATGCAATAATTGATTTCCGGACGCAATTGTCAAAATGTGCTGTGGCATTTTAATTTCTTCGATAATGTCCAATGGTTTATGCCAAAAGTTCACCAGCACTGCCAATCTGCTAACGCATTAGTGTTTGTGTTAAACAAATATTGTTCTCAGAAATTTGAAGGTCGACGACTCTGCTGAAGTATTGCGTCGTTGAAGTGTTGACGTTACTGAAGTGATGACGGTAGTTTTTCGCTCCTTGCCAAACTGGTATACTGACTGCCGCCTCGATGTCCTGCCGAAATATTTGACCATTCTGTGTAGCGAAGATGCGTCCGATGTACTCTCCTCTCTGGATGTCCCCGCAACTGCCAAAATTATAAAAACCACCGAACAGTATCCCTCTCCTAACCGATATCACTATAACCATGCCTTTAATATATGCGCGCACGCATATATCAAAACCGCAATCCTATGTAATACCCACACTTCAAACTCCTTATCCAACCAAATCTTACATCCAATTTACTAAAACAACCATCATTCAGAATCAAAACACGTTCATTCTTAGCCATTTTAATCCCCGTTCCTGCTAACATTTTAATCCCTTTCACTCCTACCCACAATTATTTTCCTAACTTATAGCTAACATATATCACCTCGCACCATGGTCCCCGATACTAGAACCTCAATGCTACCAGCAATATCAAATCACGGTATGATTAATCATAAATACAGCATATCAATCCTCATAATAATAATACTAGCAGACTGCACTTCAATATATTACACTATTTACAACTGGTACCATACTCTCACTCACGCTTAACCATAACACATGCATGCACTTCAAACGACTTGTCAAACATCCACTGCACATTCTGTAAATGCTATAATTCCAACTACACTGACACTGCACCCTGTAAATGCTATAGCTCCCATTACACTCACACCGCACCCTGCTCTCACACTGTAATCTGTGTCGCCATTCTAAACGTGTGTTCTACTATTTAGCTGTAAGTAGAAAAATATTAATGACAATTCAACCGCTGCAGTTGTGCGAAAAGCGAACGGTGCTCGAACGAATTTAACGCTCCGTTCCGCTGCCTCCTTGTGACTGTCGTCTCCCTAAAACAGTATAACAATTTCAGACACCCTGCATGTGCACTCATGCGAACAATGGCACAATCAGCGCTGACGCGTTGATCGGCTGCATGTGCGTTTAACCGTAGAGCTCCCTTGCTCTCTCCAGACGCATTCGTAGTCTCACTAACCCTTTCTCATTTCCCGGTAAGTGTGAAAGACTCCCACGCCAGCATCGCGTGGATTTGTGTAACGACCTGTGTAAGAAATTTGTAATCAAACATGTTACAATATAATGTTTCCTACTATACCGACATCGTTAGCTAAACGTAACGGTTTTGCGTACAGAAATGCCGTTCAATAACGTCGACTCTTGTACCCCGACGTGAGTCCTAGGACCGATCATGTGTGGAACACGAACTTACACACCGATTATACGTTGATTAAAACTGCAGTGATTTGATTAAACGTGACAGGCTTCTGCTATCGTATACCCGCCCATGGCTCCATGGCCCGACATCTAGCTCTTAAATCTCTCAAATCTCTCAATCTAAGACAATTCCGCTTCAACCCGCATAATGCTGATCGAGTTAGCTGACCGTGAGATTCAGCCGTACGTACGTTATACCTATACTTATACCTATACTATACCTGTTACATCGACACCATACCTACTAACCATACCTACACACATACTATCCTGTAAGCTTGTGAAACAACTGTATCGGCCTTTATTATTATAGCTATTATTTCGCTCTGCAAGTAGCCTATAGCTATAAGCATCTCAATAACATAACATGCACCTTTTGGATAAGGGATAAGAAACATGGTGCATGTATATATACAGTATTTCACTATCACCTTGTATATTACATGCTGTGGTTTTAAACTATCGTTTTTAACTTTACTTACGATTGTATATATGCCGACACAGTTTGTTTCACTCACCGTTTACGTATCTTCGTCTCGTTCAGCTCTTGTTCCTTGTAAGTTGCGTTCTTGTTCCGTTCTTCTCCTTGCTTCGTCGCTTCTTCCTCTCCATCGTTACAGCCGGTAATGATATTATACTAGCGTGTACCTTATGTTATTTTGCATAACCGTCCGTCTGTCACGTAGCACCAAATGTAGGGACGTAGCTTGCATGTTATAATTTATAGTATAAATAATCAAGAAGACATATAGAATTTGTGTTCAATTACAGACATATATTGTTTACAAACATAACAGTCACCATCTCGTCGTCCCGTCCTGTCCAGTTCCAACCGTCAGTTCCAACCCCCTTCAAAAATCCTCTAAAGTCTTATATATCACTCTCTTATCCAATCACTGTCCAGCTCTACTCTACCCTAGCCAATCACACACACTAACACTCTGCTATTCAAATGAGAGCGCACGAAAACCACATCTGACCCGCAGATGTGTAACGCGTCCGCTAGTCCCAACCTAGCTATTTCTCATCTGTATGCTAAACGCCGAACCCTGTTTCTATGTACAACTAAATCTATCTACAATTACTAATGCAATGAACATGTGTAAAACACATGTTACAATATGCAGACAACGTTATTATAATGTGTAACGCAACGTGCTTACGATGTATTTAGGTTCCAGTCATTGTGATGCTACGAAACGTACTAACGAGTTTAAAATACGTGTTTTCCAGATGAGGTGGTTATCGCTTCCCCATCTGCGAGCCGACAATACAAGACAAAGTTTCCCCCATCGCGGACAGGTCGGCAAAACACGGGCATCGATGGGAATCTAAAGGTTCCCAACGTGCTGCACTACGTCTGGTTCACCGACCCCAAAGCAAAGGGCGCCGCACATCGTTCCATGAATCTGTACCGTATGCTTGGTCCGATCAGTGCCTCCAGGAACCTGCGACCAGACCGCATTATCTTACACAGTAACCAGCGCCCGAGTGGCCGCTGGTGGGATGAACTGTTTCGCATAGTGCCGATAGAGCACGAATACTACCCCGATGTTAAACGTGTGTTTGGCAGGCCAGTCTATGAACTAGCACATCGCTCTGACGTGGCGCGTATTGATATCATACGATCACACGGCGGCATCTATCTGGACTTTGATGTCGTCGTTCTCAAGTCGTTTGACCCGCTTCGTGTGCACGACTGTGTACTTGGTGTTGAGACAGGCATTAAGGTAAAGACAAGAAACGTGACCAACGCAGGCGTGATCATCGGTGCGAAAAACGCCACTTTTCTGAACATGTGGTACGATGGCTACCGTGACTACCGCAAAAATGATTGGCTGTACAACTCGGCATTCGTGCCGAATAAACTGCGTGCGAAGCACGGGCAGCTGCTGCACGTGGATCCGAATATTTGGCACGACACTTCTGGAAACATCTTCAAAAGTTTCGCCGACCTAAGTCACACGTATGCCTATCACATGTGGGTAAATAATCATTTCCTGAATGTGCCGGGCGTTAACAAGCATGATATAAAACCCCAAGACGCCTTCCTCATGAATAACACCTTCGGTGAACTACTGCTCAGGTTTTACACTCATGATTACTGGTTGGTCAATACTTCAGTTCCCGCTTCCCCGTAGATGGCTGTATTTGTTTGGAAAACGGCCGTACACTGTAGTTACGAGTAAACACTGTTCATCCCAGCCGACCCTTCCAGCCGAGCTTGAACTATGACACAGGAGCGCGAGCATCCACGAGTGGGGTACGTGCGTGCGTATGTGTGCCAAAGCATCATGCATGGTATAGCATTCCCAGGCAGGAAAGTTTGGCGACAAGTCTTCAAATGGTTTTTAATAAACTGGTTGACGAGAATGTTTTTAAAGTGAACTTGGGCTAGAATTTATAAGTTATTGCCATTACCTTAATTGCGCATTCGTGTGGCGGCTGAAAATGCACATACGACGCAATTTTCAGTATAGAAAGCGTTGCGCAAAAACGCTTTCATTAAAATATATCCTGGATAAACATTTGAGATAACAAAATGCACATTGTGTCCTGCAATGAATGGTCTTTGTTGGGATGTTTCAACATTACTCCTGTTCAGTCATGGGAATTTCGTACTACGCTTAGCATGGTCGTCAATGGAAAATGTCTATAACGCCTTAATGCTGGACTGTACGGTGGCGACACATGTGGGCGGCTTCGGTCATCAGTGTTAAACCCTATTTCATTCGTTTTTCGCAATCTGGATACACGCGAGTCTCACACCACGCTGAAGCTGTCAGCGCTCATTATGTAATATACAGCGCTCATAGTAGTATTATTATAACCTAATAAACTCTTAAAATTTATTATTGGTTTAGTTATAGAATCATTTGGTTATTATTTAATATAAATTATTTTGTGCATTAATACATAGGTTTCACTGACGTCACACATCCGGGTATTCGTCCGGGCGCCGCCATGTTTCGGGGCAAGCGCAGTGGATCGGGTGGTGTCTGTCAAGCAGGTATGGGAGATTACGGTACGCATATATTTGCTAATATATTGACTAATCGTGCGTCAATAAACTCCATATTCACAGAGAGTATAGCTAAGAGTAAGACATGTGTCTATAGGTATCTAAGTGTTGATGCCCGCTGTGTTGTTACGCTTGCCAAGAAACATGTCCGCCGTACCACGTGACCATTTAGCTGTGACGTCATGTGAAATCTATGTATAGACAAACCGAGCTTGACACTATTTAACAGAATCCACATAAGTAAGAAGCACAAACAAGTTACAAACTCATCATAGCACAATAATAGTTACCACTGATATTATGTGAGTATAAAATAAGCACACACGGTTATATTTAAACTCACAATCAACAAACACAAACACACACACACACACACAAACACACACACACACACAAACACACGCACACACACACCCACGCACACGCACACACGCGCACACACACGCACACACACGTACACACGTACACGTACACTCGCACGTACACACGCAAACGAACACACGCATACACACACACTCACACACACACACACTCACACACATACACACGCACACGCACACACGCACATACACACGCGCTGCGACGTCGGTCGCCGATGACTGCCAAGATAATATTCTTCGGCCGTTCTTATACTTTAAAAATGGAGCTGGGCAGGCTGACAGCACGTGTGCATGGTAAAATCTGATCTACATGATTGGCTTCGCTCGCAGCATCCCGCAATGATTCCCAGCTATGCTAATGCATGGGCAAATGGCGCAGCGACGTCCGTCGCCGTTGACTCCCAAGATAATAGTCTTTGGCCGTTCTTATACGTTCAAAATGGAGCCGGGCAGGCTGACATCACGTGTGCATGGTAAAATCTGATCTACATGCCTCACTTTGCTCTCAGCATCGCGCCGCGATTCCTAGCTATGCTAATGCATGGGAAAATGGCGCTGCGACGTCGGTCGCCGTTGACTGCCAATATATCATTCTTCGGCCGTTCTTATACGTTCAAAATGGAGCCGAGCAGGCTGACAGCACGTGTGCATGGTAAAATCTGATCTACATGCTTCACTTCGCTCGCAGCATTGCGCCACGATTCCCAGCTATGCTAATGTATGGGCAAATGGCGCTGCACAGTTAATCCGTCCGCCAGTATGTGAAATACTGACATCGCGCTCATGCGCAACAAGGTCAGTATTTCAAATAGCGCGCTGCTAGCAATGTAGAACTGTTACATTACTCACTGCCTTTTATGTGAGTATTCTACATGGGCTCGGCCAGTTGATGTGAACATTTTACATAAGGTTAGCACGCGTTCACATGTCTCAAAAGGATGACCGATACGTGGCAGCACTAGTCACTTCGTACCTCTCGCTCCAGCGTAGCACCAGTTCCTTCGCCGTCGTAGTGTGTGTTTATACATTTTTATACCATCATAGGCGTTTGTATATATCTATGATACCACATATATTCTATAATATCTATGATTATACATGTTACATGTATATTTATTTGCCTATGGAAATTTAAATGGATTTTTATTCGTACGGTATTGTTTCTGATAATCTTGTTTTGTGTGAATGTGTATCAAGAGCTTACAGTGGGAAATACAATTAAATATGTTACGCTCGCGCCCAACTGAGATAGTAATTAGTATTACAATAGCCAGGCATAGTACGTCATGATCATGTCTCCCGGCATAAGATCCGAGAAACGGTGTCTATTCTAAATCACCTGTGTAGGAACCTCAAGATGTGTAACAATATGTTAATCTCATTGCTGACTGGTCAGTGGTCGGGCTAGTCAGTCATATCTCGCTCTAACACCCCTTTAGTTTTAAGCTTAGGCACCTAAAATTGTATTAGTGACATTGTTACCAATATTAATACTTACCAGTGGCAGTGAATAACATTACAGGGAACCATGTATGATGTATGATAATAGGCGTATGATTTCGTACTTCACTACTTGGGTAATATTCTGTTAAATTCTTATAATTAGTTATATTCTGAAATAACTCATTTATATTCAAATCCAAAACTATCTCGATTAGTTTCTAAATTTTATTGATAGATAACCAGGTCATCATTTTTAAAGTGAATTGATAACAATTAAGTGCTGCAATTTATAATGACCTTCAATTCCACCCTCAAGAAGAGTATATATTACAACGTCAAGTACTGAAAACAATAAAGATAATTCAACACACAATCGTATTCAAATGATGAAGACTTCACAATGCTCCTCCATGGAATAGAGAAACGTATCACCATCGAAATAGCGCACATCGAATTTGAGGTAAGGAACTCCATAGAATGTAGCCTGTCCACCTTACATCTAATTAGCTAAACGTCATTAACGCCAGCAAAGCATTCATGTCTGAGCAGTATGAATCAATGAAAGGCTCTCTAGATAAGACCCTACACCGCTTTGAAGACCATTGATGAAGAAAACAAACTGCTGAAGACCACAGTAAATACACTTGAACAGCAGTTAGAGACCGCAAAGGCAACTCTAAATAACATCGAACAGTATGGCCGCAGAGACATGATGGAATTCTCTGGAATTTCCCAAGCTGAACATTAATTAGCTAACAGTATAATGTTTAGAATTGCTTCAATGATGCAGGTTACCATCCTTGACATACCTGACATCAGTATCTCTCATCAGCTCCCCAAACCCATGTCTGGTGCTAACCCTAGTAGTATAGCCAAGTTCGTAAGATGCTATGTTTGCGATGCATTTTATACTTGTAGGAAGAATGCAGGAACAGAGACATGGGCTTCTCTTCAAATAGCCAAATCAATGATAACGAGAGTCTAACACAATTAAACATCAATATAGTTCCGTGCTAGGCAATGTAAATGCAAGTTACAATTTAAATATGCATGAATGACATGGGCTTATCTACGTTAAACAATCGGATTATTCTGAAACAGTCAACAATAAATCGATAGACAACCTGTATAAACTCAATTACTCTCAAGTGTCTAACTAAATTAACTCCGACTTCCATACCCTAAGGTCCACCCAATTATGACCACCTTTTACATAATCGAAATCTCCGCGCTGCGATCAGAAATCTCTGGCACTGATATTTCACGTGATTACTCGTGAGTGACGTATTTGTAACCGTGCTAGCCACGCCGCAGCTTGGCGATCCACTGTGAACTGTATATTGCAAGGTGGCGGCACAATCACACTTATATATAGTCACGTTCACCAAATGTAGCGTGCAACCAACCCTTGATGTAACGTGGCTATCATATACAAGGATAGCTTGGTAGCCCGACCAGTACTAAGTGATGTTTCGTGGTATAAACACAGGACGCAATCTCTCTCTCTCTCTCTCCCTCTCTGTCATAACTGCAAGTTGACTATAGGTTTTGTATGTGCATATGCGACCACACTCTGTTACTAACGCGCAGTGAGGCTCTGATAACCTAGCCTGATCGCGAGCTGTATGACTCGCACATTGTTGATACTGGTGGCAAACAACTATAGGATTAGCCTGCCACGCTGCGCATTAAGAGTCTTCACGCATGTACTCTGCTTCAAGACCTTTACCTGAAAGTCTCTGCCTGTTGGCTTTTTGTCCTACTCTTCCCGCATACTTTGCTCTCTTGGGGTGTGCCGGCAAATCAAGAACGTGTACGTCTGACTCTTTCTGCTGTTCACTACTGCTGCAGGCTGGTACCTCCAGCTCTATGCCATCTTCCTGGCTAATGTGACTTCTCACATCAGCCAGCACTTCTCCTAGTACATCTTTCAAGTTGTCTAGCACATCTCGATCATGTACTAAAAAAGTAGCAGACCTGAGCTGTCCCAGCAGATCCCGGCACATCGCAGCGTCACTCCTACTGTAGGTTGTTGGAGGAGGCAGAGGAAGAGGCTGTGAAGAGACACGGGGGTCATCTATTCCCACTTCAATAGCTGATCCACCAGACTCACTCGGCAGAGGCTGAAGCTGGGTGATGATGTCATTGTCTAGGCCGAGGTAAGGAGAATTCCTGTACAGTGCGGATAGATTACCCCACTGCCAACTCGGGTAGTGATGGAACACTGCCAAGATGTGTTTACATGGAAGAAACCACTTCTTCCTGTCCTGGCAGTCACATTTACACAACGTTGATTCATTGCCAAATACAACATTGAAGAACACATTGTCTTGGGTTTGGCTGTGAACTCTGAAATTACCCAATCTGCTGTCTGCGCATTCTACGTGATCTTGTGTTATCGCTGATGCACTGACGTCTCTAACCATGCAATGAGTAACTAAAAACCTTGGTTTGTTAACAAGGTACTCTGGAATATCATGGCGATATTTTCGGTATCCGCTGCAGTACCTTACATTCATTTGCATGTACCTAAAATAGACAGTTTAATAGTTTGTATTCACATTTTATCCTGCAATAAGCCTACTGTTTCTACGTACTTATTCTAGTACTTATTCTAAGCACTATTCTTAGCCACGTATCTCTTGACTTAGAAAGGGTTCAGCTGCAAGTAGAACAAGAGTTTACGGTATATTCTTAAACAGTGTAAACGTGAAACATAATATGTGCTTGTTTACTGCGGATTTTGTTGTTGTCCTTGCAGAGTATGACTGTTACCATACGAGTGTGTTCCATCACCGATGGCAGATGCAGATCGCAAAGACTTTAGGATGAACCCGAAGATGGTAAAAGTAAAATAAAAATAAAAGTGAATGTAGTGAACTGAAGTGAATGTAAGAGCTCTCTCTCTCTCTCCTCCCTCTCTCTCTCTCTCGATTTCTCATTGCTTCCTGCTCTCTCGCCCTCTCCCCCTCCCCCATGCTTGCCTTATCCCTCCCTCTCATTT